CTTCCTGGTCCTTCTCCCTACACTGCGCCGACGGGAGGTCTTACGGAGCGTCGTGAGCCTGAGTCTCGTCCTCCGTCGCCTGAGACGCGTCCAGAGTCGCCTGTCCGCGCTGTCCGCGCTGGTCGTCGTGTTCCACGTCAGCGTCCTCCTCCTGTCCTTGGCACTCACTATATGACCCTGCGTCCCTCTACTGCTCCACAGCATGTCCCACTGCCGTCTCCACCAGCGTCCTCTCTTCCTGCTCTTGCTGACCCGGAGTCTGACTCTCTTCGTGCTGCCAGTCCTACTGTCACGCGTCTCCTTGCCACTGCTGTCATTGACCCTTCCTTTGAGTCCTCTGCTGCGTCTGCTCTAGTCGCTGAGCTTGTTGACTTTGCTGCTGCCTGTCGTCTAGACTACGCTGCTAGCCTTGTTGCTGAGTCTGAGTCTGAGTCTGTCTGTCCTCCGTCTGTCGGGGGTGAGTGTGCTCTTGGCACGGACGTCCTTGAGGACAGACAGGAGGAGTTTGAGTGCTTTGCCGCTGCTTTGCCTCATCTCGTGTCCATGCTAGTTGCCCCTGAGGGAGACCCGGATGCACCAGACATCCCGACCCCACGCTCCTACGCAGAGGCGATGGAGGGTCCCTACTCCTCTCAGTGGCAAACAGCCATGGACGCAGAGATGGCATCCTGGAAGTCCACAGGCACCTACGTCGACGAGGTTCCCCCACCTGGGGCGAACATCGTCAGTGGCATGTGGATTTTCAGGGTGAAGCGGCCGCCGGGTTCTCCGCCTGTCTTCAAGGCGCGTTACGTTGCACGAGGCTTCAGTCAGCGAGAGGGAGTTGACTTCTTCCAGACCTTCTCCCCGACCCCGAAGATGACCACTCTTCGGGTTCTGCTGCACGTCGCTGCTCAGCGTGACTACGAGCTCCACTCTCTTGACTTCAGCACTGCGTTCTTACAGGGCAGCCTGCACGAGGAGATCTGGCTGCGCCGCCCACCTGGCTTCACTGGGTCGTTCCCTCCTGGTACCCAGTGGAGCCTCCGGCGGCCAGTCTACGGTCTCCGCCAGGCACCCCGTGAGTGGCACGACACACTGAGGACTACTCTTGCTGCTCTTGGGTTTGCTCCTTCTACTGCTGACCCGTCGCTGTTTCTACGCACCGACACCACTCTGCCGCCGTTCTACGTTCTTGTTTACGTAGACGACTTGGTCTTTGCTACTGCTGACACTGAGGCACTCGCCCACGTGAAGTCGGAGCTGCAGAAGAGACACACGTGCACAGACCTGGGTGAGCTGACAAGCTATCTTGGCTTGCGGATCACCCGGGACAGAGCACAGCGCACCATCACCTTGACTCAGTCACACATGGTGCAGCAGGTCCTTCAGCGCTTCCGCTTCACGTACTCCTCGCCTCAGCCCACTCCTCTGCCTACCGGTCACTCGCTCTCAGCTCTGCCTTCGGATGAGTCCGTAGAGCCGAGTGGCCCGTATCCAGAGCTTGTGGGCTGCCTCATGTACCTGATGACCTGCACTCGACCTGACCTGGCATACCCTCTTAGCATCCTAGCACGCTATGTCGCTCCCGGCCGTCACCGGAAGGAGCACATGGATGCCGCTAAGAGGGTGTTGCGCTACTTGTGCAGTACGTCGGGCATGGGGCTCGTGCTTGGAGGTCGGAGCGACGTTGTCCTCACGGGTCACTCAGACGCTTCTTGGGCTGACGACCAGGCTACGCAGCGGTCGTCTCAGGGTTACACCTTCAGCCTTGGCTCTGGTTCAGTTTCTTGGCGTTCTACTCGCTCTTCTTCTGTTCTCAGCTCCAGTTGTGAGGCTGAGATCTACGCCACAGCCATGGCTGCACAGGAGTTACGCTGGCTCACCTACCTGCTGACCGACCTGGGAGAGCGGCCTCGTTCTCCTCCAGTGCTGTACGTTGACAACAAGGCCGCCATTGCCTTGTGTGAGGAGCACAGACTGGAGCACAGGACGAAGCACATCGCTCTGCGCTACTTCCTTGCTCGAGAGCTGCAGCAGCGTGGTCAGCTTCGTCTGCGTTACGTGGCCACTCGGGCCAACACTGCTGATGTGTTCACCAAGGCGCTTCAGCCTTGTGACCATCAGCGTTTCTGTACTGTTCTAGGCCTTGTGCCTACTCTCCCTCACTTGCTCACTTCTTGACTCTGCTTGTACTGTGATCTCTATATATATATACCTGCATGTTTACTCTTGTTAGGTTGTGATCACTGTACCTCTTGTTATATTATCAAACTACATGTGAACTGGTCTTGTGACCACTTGCTTGTGCTCGGAATTTGTGTGGTTTCCTTGAGATCCACCCTGAGCTTGCTTTGCTTTGCTTTGACTGGTCTTGTGACCATCTGGTTGTCTCCCACTTAGCCTATGGGGGTGTGTCAAACATTATACATGTTCATATTGTGTAGGCTATAGTGGGTTTAGCCTTAGGGGGTACAACATTGCTAGGGTTTCCTACTTGTATCACCCTGCTGCCTAGTTTCACACATTCTCGTTCAGTTCTACATTCTAACACGTGTTTCTTCCGTTATCGCCAGAGGCGTCCCATCCACGAGGCGAGCGTCGATTTCGGGCAGACACCTGTCAAGTTGCAGCTTGCATTTTTTTGCTGTCGCCAAGTTGAAGAGGCTATGGCTGGCCCCCCCATCGACGAACATTTTCAAGTTATTTTTTAACACCTTGCCAGCGACCAGCACAAGGTGATCCACATGATTATCCCCGTTATTCGGTCGAGTGCAATCGATTGCATGAATCGGAACCACGACTCGGCGGGGATGGTGGGGTTCGGGCGACGGAGCACAGTCAGTAAAGGGTCCGCTAATTACTGACTCTTCCCATTTCCCTGCTCCTTCCTGTCGTTCCCCGTCAGCGGCGTTTTCTCGTGGCAGTCTTTCATGTAGTGACCCGTCTTCCCACACCGGTGACACGGTCCCTTAGGAGGGCGGTCGGGTGTATGGACGGCGTTGATCGTGGCGCAATGGGTCTAGCCACGAAAGTGGTTTCCATCCCTGGAAGCTGCTCTCGCGTACTGCATCAGCGCATCGGTAGACTCCGACAGCCGTACTGATTCTAGGAATGATGTCGGGCGGCCCCTGCGAACCTCGTACTGTATCTTGTATTTGAGGCCGCTGATGTATTTATCCAACCGTTCTGCTTCCGACATATCATCCACTTGGTCGGCGAGGCCCATAAATGACGCCGTGTAGTCTTGGACAGATGCCATCTGCGACCAGGCATGCAGCTTCATGCGAGCTTGCTCCGAGGCGGATACGTGCTCGAAGCGATCTCGTAAGGTTGCGCCCCACTCCTTCCACGTGCGTATCTTGGTCACTCCGAAGATCGATTCTGCCACTTGATTAGTCACTGTTGAGGTCCCGTCTGCCGCATGCGTCACATCTGTCGGAGTCCCCGTTTCCAAGGTTCGGCGCCACCATTCAAGCGCTGCGCCTCGAAGAATCAAAGCCGCGTAATTAATACGCGTGTCATCGTCATTAACTCCTGCTGCAGTGAAGAAGACTTCAACACCGAACAGCCACCCCTTCACTGTAGTTGTCTTGTCCGTAGGATTGAACGGGGGCGGGTTAACGGGTTTAATCTTGATCGTCGTTACTGCAACTGGTGCTGCTGCTGCTCGCTGCCTGCCTTCCTCTTCGAAGTCACGTGTGAGCGCATCCAACGGATTGCTCACCGCCTGACTGTTGCCCTCGCCTTCTTCGACGGGCGACTCCTGATGCGCTTCACCTCGCGTCTGGCGTAGCTCGGCGTTTTCCTCTCGTAACGTTGTCACTTCCGCCATTAACGACTCCATGCCCTTCTGCATTTCTGCCACTTGCACCATCAGCATGTTAACCGCCTCCTGATCCATGTGCCTAGCGCTACGTCTGGTAAGCAATCGGGTCTCCGTGGCCTTCAGGCAAGTGAAAACACGAACTATCGGAGTTGGGCAGGATTGAATTAACAATCCCTGCAGCCAACCGTCGTGTAGTCACTAAACCAACCACACCCGTGCCACCAAACTACCCTCGGAAAAGCGGGGTGAACTAGGAAAGTAGCTCTGATACCAGGTGTTATGAGTTGTAAGAGAGAGTGCGCAGGTAAACGAATAACGAGACTGTGATTGAACGAACTGAGAATACAATGAAGGCACAGACTAATGTAGGAGCTAGCCTAGCTAGGAGGGAACCTCGGACGAGTGAGGTTGGGTGCAGGTTTGGCGATGGGAAATGCCGAAGGCGACGCGAGGAGCCTCGGCAGCGTTGAAATCGGCCGAACGTGCAAATTCCGAAAATCGGGGCTGTACGCGAAGCAGTCAACCCCGATAAGGAATTCGAGAAAATTCCTTGCACTTACTAGCTGCATCCTTCATTCGAGCTTCATGAACCTTCACAACTAGCTAATATATTGTCTTAGACATAAAACTGGTAAGTGGGCTGTGTGTATAATGTCGCGAATTTTGTTTTGCCCTGCTGCCAGCGCATCAATATCCGAATCGCTGCCAGGCCCTGGACCAAGAGCCAACAAATATATCACGTGTTCACTTTCATGTCGTAAGCCCTGCATGCGATCGCAAATGACGTCAGCGAACTTCGTTAGGCCCTCGTGTCAAACGCCAGTACGCGTTCACTCAACGCAACCTGTAGCAGGAACGCGGCCTCAGAAGGCCCACTCGCTGCCTCCTTGGGATTTGTTTTCCTACCTCGAGGTTTGCTTCACTGGTTTTTTTACTGCGAAACGTGAAGCGCCAGTCATTCTGCTTCACGGTTCTGTCCGTTGATTCTTGCTTCTTGGAGTCGATAGAACTTGGTTGCATATCCCTCATCCGTTTACCCTCCATTGTTAGGGTTTGCTTGCTCCGCCTCTCTCTTCTAAGCGAATTTGATAACTGCGGTAGTCATCCCGTACCTAGGAGCTTTTGTGCCTTTCGCTTAGTAACTTGCCAGCGACTGCCGATTTGTGGTGCTGAGCGTTTTCAATTCAGAACCATGGCCACGGCTTCAGGTGAGGCCTTTTCGCCACCGAGATGCTATATGACTGTCAGAAGATTCACGGATGTTGTGTAGTTTGTCGAGCCATCTCGAGAACGGATGAAGCCTAGTCTGTAATACTCGACGAACGTTCGTCAGATGCTTTTGTTCGATGCCTTTTTTTTTCCGACCTAGCTTGGAGACGTCTTAAGAATGGATGCAACGTAGTCTGTATAATCAAGGAGCGTTGTACACATTCTGAGCTAGTTAGGTGTTGTCTTTAAACTCGATTACATCCGTTTTAATCGTCGAATCTCAGTACCAAGAGCTCTCGTTGATCAATTTTCGTCTCCTCGTGCAACAGCTTTAGCGTTTGAGGGTCTTCTTTATGGAACCATTTGTTATTAGGCTATGGTTCGATAAGCATCACCTGCGTGAGCCACCTAATATTATTTTTTCTGCTGCATCGTGCGGCCGTTCAGCGTTTCTCCTTACGTTCTTCACAGAATGACATGCGTCTCACCCGTTTCCCTCCTCGGGACTTACGAGGACCCAGATTGTTAGCTTGCGTGCCTTGGAGAGATTTGTCTCTAGTTCGTGCCCTTCGCGTTGTGACTGCAAGACGACCTGTCTCATCCTCTGTTCGTACTTCTCCTCTCCCTCCGCCCCCCTTACTCTTTAGCAGCGACGTTTAAGTCCCCTTCCTGGAGGACCACAGGAAGCAGCAGGAGCTGGAGGAGGCGCGTAAGGCGAGATTTCACTTTCCTTATCCTTCTAAAATCTCCTTCCTCCCCTCTTGTCCGTTTATTGTCTATCCAGCCACATTCAAGTCGCGCGAGGATCACAGGAAGCAGCAAGAGCTCGAGGGGGCTCGTAAGGCGGTCTTGCATCTTTCTAAGATCTCCTATTTTCTGATATTTTCCCCTTTCTTTCGTCCTACTATTGTGCCTTATCCAGCCACGTTCAAGTCGCGCGAGGACCACAGGAAGCAGCAGGAGCTCGAGGAGGCGCGTAAGGCGGGGTTGGCGCCAGCAGAGTTGGACGAGGATGGCAACGAGATCAACCCGCATATCCCGCAGTACATGTCGTCCGCGCCCTGGTACCTCAACGCCGAACGACCCGTGAGTAGCGGGGGAAGGGGCTTGGGGCGGGGATGGGGGTGGGTGTTGGGGATGGTGGTGGTATGGGCGAGGCTCGTTGCCGCAGAACATGTCGTCCGCGCCCTGGTACCTCAACGCCGAACGACCCGTGAGTAGTCCGCTTCTGAATGTGTGGGGGAGAGTAAGAGTTGAAGGGAGGAGTAGGGGGTAGGGGGATGGCAACGAGATCAACCCGCATATCCCGGACCCTCAGTACATGTCGTCCGCGCCCTGGTACCTCAACGTCGAACGACCCGTGAGTAGAGGGGGGAGGGGTTGAGGGGGTGGGGTAGGGTTGGAGGTTGGGATGGTAGGTGTATGGTTGAGTTGGTCTAGGGTGGGGTTCGTTGCTGCAGTACATGTCGTCCGCGCCCTGGTACCTCAACGCCGAGCGACCCGTGAGTAGAGGGGGGAGGGGTTGAGGGGGTGGGGTAGGGTTGGAGGTTGGGATGGTAGGTGTATGGTTGAGTTGGTCTAGGGTGGGGTTCGTTGCTGCAGTACATGTCGTCCGCGCCCTGGTACCTCAACGCCGAGCGACCCGTGAGTAGCCTGCTGCTGAGGTGGTTTTTTGGGTGGGTGGGGGTAGTGGTAGAAAGGAGAGGAAGAGGGGAAAGAGGGAGGATGGCAACGAGATCAATCCGCATATCCCGCAGTACATGTCCTCCGCGCCCTGGTACCTCAACGCCGAACGACCCGTGAGTAGCCTGCTTCTGAGGGGGAACGTGTGTGGGGGGGAAACGTGGGATTTTGGGGAATCAGGGAGTCGGGGAAAGCGGGGGGAAGGGGAGAGGGGGGGGGGAGGGGGTGGGTTTGGTGGGTTGGGGTAAAAAAATGAGTGCAAAGAGCAGCAACGAGATCAATCCGCATATCCCCCAGTACATGTCCCCTGCGCCATGGTAACGAGGTGACTTTTAAGTCGACTCAAGAGTCACCCTGCGCCGTGGTAACGCCACCCTCCTGTCTGTCTGTATCCACCTGTCGTGCGTCTGAGCAGAGTTTGAAGCATCAACGGAACTGGAAGGGCGAGGGGAACTACACCAACCTGTGGTATGATAGAGGGGCCAAGGGCTTTCAAGCCGAGAAATACCGCAAGGGCGCCTGCACCAAGTACGTTCCATGCCTCACCGCCCTCCCTGTTTGTGCCTAACACTCTGTGGTGCTCTAGTCTAGTATATCTAGTATAGCCTGGAGGCGAGGGGAACTACACCAACCTATGGTACGGCCGAGGAGCTAAAGGCTTTCAGGCTTTCAGGCTGAGAAGTATCGCAAGTACCATAGGTTGGTTTAGTTCTAGTCTAAAGGCATCAACTACGTTATCTTACCTCCACTGCTTGTGCGTCACTCTCTGTGGTGCTCTAGTCTAGTATAGGGCGAGGGGAACTACACAAACCTGTGGTACGACCGAGGAGCTACGAACTTCTAAGTGCGTGCCCTCAGCTTAATGCATGTGGTTTCCCCTGTGAATATTCAGCCAATTGAGTCGTTTGCTCATGCCAACTCTATGTGCGCAGTGCCATCTCCCCCCCCACCCCCCCTCTCCCACCCACCCTCTCTTCTCGCGTTTGGCTTTATCTCCTCCCTTGTCTTTCGACCCACCAGCTGTGGCGCCATTATCCATACCGCCAGCTAAGCTGTGTGTGGAGCGACCAAGGAAGGTGGGCGCCAAGTGGACGAGCCAGAGCATTACTGAGAGTATATTCGTCCCCACTTGCTCCTTGCTCCTTGTCCCTCACCCCTCCTTGCTCCTCACCCCTCTTCCAACCACCAGCTGTGGCGCCATGACCCATACGGCCAAGCTGTGCGTGGAGCGGCCAAGGAAGGTGGGCGCCAAGTGGACGAGCCAGAGCATCGCAGCAGACGAGAAGATCCAATCGATCGAACTCAACTACGAGGGCAAGGGGGATGGACTCATTGATACTCTCCCTTCACCCCATTCTGCCCGGACCCCCTCTCCCCTCCCCCTCCCCTCCCCTTTTTCCCCCTTTGGCTCCCTGCCCTGCCCATCCACCCCACCAGCTGTGGCGCCATGACCCACACTGCAAAACTGTGTGTGGAGCGGCCGAGGAAGGTGGGTGCCAAGTGGACGAGTCAGAGCATTGCGCCTGATGAGAAGATCCAATCGATTGAACTCAACTACGAGGGCAAACGGGACCGCTGGAACGGGTTTGATGCTGCCACGTACAAGCGAACCATGGATTCGTATGATATTCGGGCCGAAGCGAGGAAGAAGTTTCAGAAGGAGCAGCAGTTAAAGAAGCTTGCTGGGAAGGGGGGTGATGGGGAGGGAGGGGGGAAGGAGGGAGGAGGGAAGGAGGGAGAGGGAGGGGAGGGGGGAGAGGATGAAGAGGAGGAGGAGGAGGAGGATGATGCGAAGGTTGATGAGAGCAGGCAGATGGATTTCGGGAAGGTGGAGAAGCGTGTGAGGACGACTGGTGGTGGCAGCACAGGTTCAGTGCGGTACGTGATGGTGTGGGAAGGTGTAGGAAGGTGCAAAGGGGTGGAGAAGCGTGTGAGGAAGAGGATGATGCGAAGGTTGATGAGAGCAGGCAGATGGATTTCGGGAAGGTGGAGAAGCGTGTGAGGACGACCGGTGGTGGCAGCACAGGTTCAGTGCGGTAAGTCCATTTTTCGATGGTGTGTAGAAAGGTGCAGAAAGATAAGCTCCGTTACAGAATGGTGCGTGTGAGGATCAGTGCGGTTTGTACAGTCAGTGTTACTACATGGGCAATATTCCCTCCTGCCCCTGCTGCCTCTCGTGTCCACCCTGCCCCTCCCACCCCTCCCGCCCCTCCCCTCCCTCACAGAAACCTGCGTATTCATGAAGATACAGCCAAGTACCTCCTGAATCTGGATGTGGATTCGGCTTACTACGACCCCAAGACGCGGTCTATGAGGGAGGACCCCAACCCAGAGGGCGACGCCAAGGACAAGTTCTACCTGGGAGACAACCACAACCGCATCAGCGGGCAGGCACTGGAGTTCCGCCAACTCACCGCTTAAAGCGTGGGAGGCCATGGAGAAGGTCAACGTGGACGTGCACTCACTCCCTTCACTTACTCCCTCACCCATACTCCAAGCAGGCGCTGGGCTTCCGGCAGCTCACCGTGCACGCGTGGGAGGCCATGGAGAAGGTCAACGTGGACGTTCACTCACTCCCTTCACCCTATTTCCGACCCCTTTCCCTCCCGCCCCTCCGTCCCTGCCGGTGACAGAAACCTCCGTATTCGTGAGGACACGGCGAAATACCTGTTGAATCTGGACGTGCACTCGCTTCCTTCACCCTATTTCCGACCCCTTTCCCTCCCGCCCCTCCGCCCCTGCCCGTGACAGAAACCTCCGTATTCGTGAGGACACGGCGAAATACCTTCTCAACCTGGATGTAGACTCAGCTTACTACGATCCAAAGACGCGCTCCATGCGAGAAGATCCCAACCCAGAGGGCGATGCGAAAGACAAATTTTATCTTGGAGACAACCATAACCGCATCAGCGGGCAGGCTCTGGAGTTCCGCCAACTTACCGCTTAAAGCGTGGGAGGCCATGGAGAAGGTCAACGTGGACGTGCACTCGCTTCCTTCACCTGATTTCTGACCCCTTTCCCTCCCGCCCCTCCGCCCCTGCCGGTGACAGAAACCTGCGTATTCGCGAAGACACGGCCAAATACCTGTTGAATCTGGACGTGGATTCGGCTTATTACGACCCGAAGACCCGCTCCATGCGCGAAGATCCCAACCCAGAGGGCGACGCGAAAGACAAGTTTTACCTAGGAGACAACCACAACCGCATCAGCGGGCAGGCCCTGGAGTTCCGTCAGCTCACAGTCCACGCGTGGGAAGCCATGGAGAAGGTCAACGTGGACGTGCACTTACAGGGTGCGCCGAGCCAGGCAGAGCTGCTGCACCGGGAGTTTAAGGTCAAAAAGGAGAAGCTGAAGGGGGCGAGTAAGGAGTCGGTGCTGGCCAAGTATGGGAACGCGGCGAGTAATAAGGGGAGAGGGGTTGGTGGGGAGGGGGAGGAGGAGGAGGGGATTCCGGAGGAGCTGCTGCTGGGGCAGACTGAGGTGCAAGTGGAGTATGACCGGGCGGGACGACCCCTCAGAGGCGTGGTGAGTGGCACTGCTCTGCTGCAGGTATGCTTGTTATGGGTGAGTTGATTTACAGGGCGCGCCGAGCCAGGCAGAGGTGAGTCAAGCGGAGCCGAGCCAGGCTGAGCTGCTGCACCGGGAGTTTAAGGTAAAAAAGGAGAAGCTGAAGGGCGCGAGTAAGGAGTCGGTGCTGGCCAAGTATGGGAACGCGGCGAGCAATAAGGGGGCAGAGGAGGAGGGGATTCCGGAGGAGCTGCTGCTGGGGCAGACGGAGGTGCAAGTGGAGTATGACCGCGCGGGAAGACCACTCAGAGGAGTGGTAAGTAGTGCAAGACTTTCGCTTTGTAATGGGTATGGTATGCTCTGTGGTACTACAGTTGCGTCTCTGTCTAGTCCCGGAGCCAGAGGGGATTCTAGAGGAGCTGCTGCTGGGGCAGTCGGAGGTGCAAGTGGAGTATGACCGGGCAGGACGACCCCTGAGAGGAGTGGTAAGTGGCACAATGCTTTTGCTTATAACGGGTATGGTGTGTACTGTGGTGCATTACCTCCCATAGCTGTTTCTGCTGCTGCGGCGGCTGTTTCTGGGGCAGACGGAGGTGCAAGTGGAGTATTACCGCGAGGGACAGCCGTTGAGAGGCGTGGTAAGTAGCCGTATGTTCTGGCTTATAACGGTGGGTATGGTATGTTCTGTGGTGCCACAGTTGCTGTTCTTACTTTTTTCTGGAGATGAAGGGATTCCGTTAGAGCTGCGGCAGCTGCTGCTGGGGCAGATGGAGGTGCAAGTGGAGTATGACCGTGCGGGACAGCCGTTGAGAGGTGTGGTAAGTGACACCACAGCAGTCGGAGGTGTTCTGGTGAACAATCACACGGCGGTGTGGGGCAGCTGGTGGGGCGGGGACGTGTGGAAGTACGCGTGCTGCTGCAGCTATTAACAGTCTTTCTCCCTTTGCTGCAATCCCTCCCCACCTTGCCAGGACAAGGCCGTACCGTGCAGTCGGTACGAAGAGGACGTGTTGGTCAACAACCACACGGCTGTGTGGGGCAGCTGGTGGGGCGGGGGCGTGTGGGGCTTATTTGTGCTGCTAATGACCTTAGTGTTTCTTCTCCCTCCCTTCTCTCAGGACAAGGCCGTACCGTGCAGTCGCTATGAGGAGGATGTATTGGTGAACAACCACACGGCTGTGTGGGGCAGCTGGTGGGGCGGGGGCGTGTGGGGGTACGTGCGCGTGCTGCTGAACAATCCTCAATTGGCCTATCTTTTCTCCTCTTTCCCCCTTGCTGCAATGCAATCCCTCCCCACCTTGCCAGGACAAGGCCGTACCGTGCAGTCGGTACGAAGAGGACGTGTTGGTCAACAACCACACGGCTGTGTGGGGCAGCTGGTGGGGCGGGGGCGTGTGGGGGTACGCGTGCTGCCACCAGACCACGCGCATGAGCTACTGCACGGGTGCCAGCGGCATTGCTGCTGCTGAGGCTTCAGCCAATCTTATGCAAGCGAACATGGAAAGGCGCGAGCAGATGAAGGCAGCTAAAGGTGCGTGTGTTAGGGGGCAGCTGGTGGCAGTTGGTGGCAGCTGGTGGGGCGGGGGCGTGTGGGGGTACGCGTGCTGCCACCAAACCACTCGCATGAGCTACTGCACGGGTGCCAGCGGCATTGCTGCTGCTGAGGCATCGGCGAATCTTATGCAAGCCAACATGGAGAGGCGCGAGCAGCTGAAGGCAGCGAAAGGTGGGTAGTGAGAACAGAAGCACTGAAGGTGCGTGTGTTAGGAGGAGCGTGGGGAAGCTGGTGGTGGTAGGGGGAGCGGGGGTTTGTGAGGCTACGCATGCTGGTGGGAGCCGGCGGGGTGGGGGCGTGTGGGGCTACGCGTGCTGCCACCAGACCACTCGCATGAGCTACTGCACGGGTGCCAGCGGCATTGCTGCTGCTGAGGCGTCGGCGAATTTGATGCAAGCCAACATGGAGAGGCGCGAGCTGCTGAAGGCAGCGAAAGATGGGTAGTGGGCAGAGAGGGCGGTACTGGGGTGTGTGCATTGCTACTGCACGGGTGCCAGCGGCATTGCTGCTGCTGAGTCATCAGCGAATCTGATGCAAGCGAACATGGAGAGGAGGGAGCAGCTGAAGGCAGCGAAAGGTGCGTTTTGAGTGCATTGGCCATAGTGGTTCGCTGCATGTGGGTGGTGGTGCACTGGTGCAGTGGAGGGGTGGGTTGATGCATCGGCGAATCTGATGCAAGCGAACATGGAGAGGAGGGAGCAGCTGAAGGCAGCGAAAGGTGTGTGGTGCGTAGAGTGGGAGGTACTGGGGTGCGTGCATGCATCGCTGCTGCTGAGGCGTCGGCTAATCTGATGCAAGCGAACATGGAGAGGAGGGAGCAGCTGAAGGCAGCGAAAGGTGCGTTCTGGGTGCATAGGCCATAGTGGTTCGCTGCATGTGGGTGGTGGTGCACTGGTGCAGTGGAGGGGTGGGTTGATGCATCAGCGAATCTGATGCAAGCGAACATGGAGAGGAGGGAGCAGCTGAAGGCAGCGAAAGGTGAGGTTTAGGGCACAGGGTAGAGAGCGAGTTGTCGGAGGTATGTGCATTGCTGCTGCACGGGTGCCAGCGGCATTGCTGCTGCCGAGGCTTCAGCCAATCTGATGCAAGCGAACATGGAGAGGCGGGAGCAGCTGAAGGCAGCGAAAGGTGCGTGCATTGGTGAAAAGGAGATTGGGTTTCTTTAGAGGGGGAGCGGGGGTTTGTGGGGCTACGCATGCTGCCACCAGACTACACGCACGGGTGCCAGCGGCATTGCTGCTGCTGAGGCGTCGGCGAATCTGATGCAGGCGAACATGGAGAGGCGCGAGCAGATGAAGGCAGCGAAAGGTGGGTAATGAGTGAGTTAGTGGGGTGTGTGCATTGCTGGGTTGCTGCTGCTGAGGCGTCGGCCAGTCTGATGCAGGCGAACATGGAGAGGCGGGAGCAGATGAAGGCAGCGAAAGGTGTGGTTTAGGATACCGGGTAGAGAGGGATTTGCTGGGTTGGGGCTTCAGCGAATCTGATGCAAGCGAATATGGAGAGGCATGAACAGCTGAAGGCAGCGAAAGGTGGGTAGTGAGGGGAAAGGAAGGCACTGAACAGCCACTCTTCTGCTCTAGGGGCATTGCTTCTGCTGATGAGGAAGAGGCAGAGGAGGGAGCGGGCAAAGCGAAGCAGACAGAGGAAAGGAAAGGAGACGCGGATATGGATCTCAGCTTTCTCCCCTTCATGCTCCTTTCCTTCCTCCCGTTCTCCCTTCCCTTGACTGGTTGCTTTTGTCACAGAAGCTGGTGAGAGGGAGGAGGAGGATGAGGAGGGAGCGGGCAAGGCGAAGCAGATTGAGGAGAAGAAAGGAGTGGCGTGGGGCACAGACGCGGATATGGATATCAAGCTGGATAAGAAGAAGCTCAGGGCGGCTCTTAAGAGGGTATGTTGTGTGTGTTGCTTGTGAGTGACTGTGGGGCGAGGGTACTAAGGGGGAGAAGAAGCCAGTGGCATGGGGCACAGACGCGGATATGGATGTGTCAAACTGGACAAGAAGAAGCTCAGGGCGGCACTGAAGAGGGTAAGAAGAGTGGGTGTGCTGCATGTGAGTGACTGTGGGGCGAGGGTACTAAGGGGGAGAAGAAGCCAGTGGCATGGGGCACAGACGCGGATATGGATCTTAAGCTGGACAAGAAGGAGCTCAGGGCGGTACTCAAGGGGTAGATGGATGGATCTCAATGTGTGCTTTCCCGTGCCTCTTGATTGCCATGGCAGGAGGATGAGCTGGCTCGGGAGGAGAAGGACGAGCGCAAGCGCAAGTACAATGTCACATACTCCGATGATGTGAGTGGTTTTGTCTGTTCGTCCACTCGAAATCTATCTAGTTTCCGGTATTCGGAGAACGGGATACAAGTACAAAGTCACATATTCCAACGATGTGAGTGGTTTTGTCTGTTTGCCCACTCGAAATTGATCTATTGGTTACATCTGTTTGGAGAAAAGGTTCCTAGTTACACTTACAGCTATTCGCATACTGGACAAAGCAGCAAATCCTTTGTGATGACCTTATGCAGATTCCCCATCTCATGAACCTTTCATGTACCCCACCCCCCTTAACCCCTCCCACCCCTCTTTCCTCCCCCCATTCTTCCTGCCACACCCCCTTTGGGTACTCTGTTGCCCTTCCGTGCTTGCTCCTATTTACAGGTGACGGAGGAGGATATGGAGGCATACCGAATGAAGCGAATCCATGCCGATGACCCCATGCTCATGCCCCACCCCGCATTCTCCTCCTACTTCCTGCCTAATCCTGCTTTCCCTTCCCTGCTTGCTCCCACTTGCAGGTGACGGAGGAGGACATGGAGGCATACCGAATGAAGCGAATCCATGCCGATGACCCCATGCTCATGCCCCACCCCGCATTCTCCTCCTACTTGCTGCCTAATCCTGCTTTCCCTTCCCTGCTTGCTCCCACTTGCAGGTGACGGAGGAGGACATGGAGGCATACCGAATGAAGCGAATCCATGCCGATGACCCCATGCTCATGCCCCACCCCACATTCTCCTCCTACTTGCTGCCTAATCCTGCTTTCCCTTCCCTGCTTGCTCCCACTTGCAGGTGACGGAGGAGGACATGGAGGCATACCGAATGAAGCGAATCCATGCCGATGACCCCATGCTCATGCCCCACCCCGCATTCTCCTCCTACTTGCTGCCTAATCCTGCTTTCCCTTCCCTGCTTGCTCCCACTTGCAGGTGACGGAGGAGGACATGGAGGCATACCGAATGAAGCGAATCCATGCCGATGACCCCATGCTCATGCCCCACCCCGCATTCTCCTCCTACTTGCTGCCTAATCCTGCTTTCCCTTCCCTGCTTGCTCCCACTTGCAGGTGACGGAGGAGGACATGGAGGCATACCGAATGAAGCGAATCCATGCCAATGACCCCATGCTCATGCCCCACCCCGCATTCTCCTCCTACTTGCTGCCTAATCCTGCTTTCCCTTCCCTGCTTGCTCCCACTTGCAGGTGACGGAGGAGGACATGGAGGCATACCGAATGAAGCGAATCCATGCCGATGACCCTATGCTTGCTTTCCTAGGCAAGGATGACGAAGATGACGCCTAGCTAACTGTTTTGTACATCTATTACATTGTCAGTACGCGTGTTCCCTGTTAGTTTGCGTACATAAAGCAGGCACGGTATTTTGTTCATCTACACGAGTAACTAGAGGATGCAAATATGTGCTGTGCGATTGAATCTGGTGGTGTTGGGTTTATAAAAAGTTTGTTTCCATTTCTTTTTACGAGTCCTTGTGATTCTCCAAATGCTAACTCAATAACCAGGTTGTTTGTTTTACGCATTTCACGGTCACAGCTTCGGTCGAAGTTGAGCCATACAGCTCCGCTGCCGCCTTTTTGCTGCGTTTTTAGGGCGTGTCCAGTTCGTTCATTTCGGGATTTTTCGTGCCAACGCACGTATCGAGGTTGTAAAATGACCACCGTACCTAGAAACGAATGCATTGTGAGTGGAGTCCAACCTCCTGTAATTTCAGAAGCGCGGACACATTCCCCGCCACACGAATCAACAGTTTTTTTTTTTTTTAAGGTGAAATAGCATTATACAACGTACAACGCAAAACACCGTCGGTCGTAACCGGAGCTAGAGGGCATAGGTAGCTTAAGTGTCTACCGTACCCTCCCAGATTCCTATGGAGTCTTAAAAGTCAAGTGCCTAAACACTTTGTCTTGCCCGTTTGGGGCTCTCTTTGTAGAGTTGCCACACTTCAGATCAGGTAGAAATATGTTGACACTTTTTTGCCTGTTGGCACACTTCAGCACCTCCATAAACACCCTTGTAACCAGCTGCTGAGTATGTCGCTTCAACCTTGAACAATTGCCTCCGAACCTGCCTTGTCTGGTATGGTGGGGTTTGTCTGCAACAAAAACAGCTCTGGTTCGTTGCTGCCGAACGGGGCCTTGGTGACTGATTTGACACTTCAGCCTTGCTCGGTTGGCTCCGACCCTGCATTGTCGAGATTGGTTGAGTTGGGTTACAGCAGGAATTGCCCTGCTTTGAAGTTGCTGCCTGGCAGGGCCTTGGGAACGAGTGCTTCCTCTCATTGCACCCATTCGAGTCGATTGTGTGAGTGGTGGGAGCAGCAGAGAGCAAAACACCTTCAGAGAAAAAAGCACCTCCAGCAGCTCGCCCTGATTCATGGCGCCGAAACGTTCTGATGATTACGTCGGTATCTTCGAAATGAAAAAATGCCTCTTGTAGCTAAGGGAAATTCACAGCGTCGGAAGCTTCCACTTTTGATCTCCTGTTTTCCTTGCTCATTAAATCAGAGTAGCCTTCCACTCTCTTCATCTGCAGCTCCCTTGATCTGGCTTTTGATGTCATAGCGTCGACCAGAGTTGTACTACGAAAAGCATCTTCGACCTCGAAACCTTCAGTAGACAAGCTTAAAATAGGAAAATCTCGATGCACCCCCGACATGCTTTGCCATGACGAAAAAACTTCAATCCGTTTCTTTCGTTGAGACTTGCGATGCTGCTGTCGTCTTGATTTATGTTGAATGGCAGAAAACGACGATAATCTGAAGACATTTCGGTTGGTAATTATCCTGCACTTGATCTTGCAGCCTTGATTTGCATGAGTGTCGTTCTCTTCCTGCTCCCTTGGAAATAGTGCTGGAACCGTCTTAACTTCGTAAGGACGAACAGAGCAATGTCTTGATAAGCACGTGCATTTCATTGACTGAAGAACAGGATCACGCAGGAAAATACTTGACCCAATGCTCTCTGTGTGAGCACAATGTTGGTGTCTTGATAAAGTTTCTGATGCGTAGATCCCAAAAATAGATTCAGATCCTGATACTGACACTGTTGAGGCTGACATTGTTAGTATTGAAAGTCCTTGACAAGAGTGACGGCGACTAGCCATGTCGGAGAGAACTATGGTAGGCGCCCTTGTGTGACACGAATCAACAGTGCTCTGACCACGTTGAAAACGAGGTAACAGTGAAACAGGCTACGGCGCAGTCCGCATGGCGCGGCTGGCCTGGCCGGCCATGCCGACTAGAGAGCTGCGCCGTAGCGAGATAAAGAGAAAAAAGGAGAACGAGTAGAGGCAGCGGAAGAGCTAAGCTAGATGTAGAAGGTGGGATCCGAGATGGCAAGAAGATAGAATAGAATGATAGGATCGTAACCAGCTCGGATACCAATGAAACAGGACTACGGCGCAGTCCGCATGGCGCGGCTGGTCTGACCGGCCATGACGACTAGAGAGCCTGCGCCGTAGCGAGATAAAGAGAAGAGTTGTCACAGCAGCGGAATAAGAGAAAGTTAGACGAGAGTCTAGCTCCAGATTCGTCGACGAGAGAGTTGAGAAGAGATTCAAGAAGTTAGAATAGAAAGTAGGTCCAAGGATGAGATGATACAACAAGAACTAGGAAGAGATATTTATGCTAGGAAGAGAGATGGCGACTTGGGAGGAAAACCGCGTCGCCACTTTATCTAGCATGGCATCTTGGCATAGCGCCTCGATGCCATGCCCTGCTGGATTCTAGTAACATCTAATCACTGACGAGGATAAGGGAATACGCTCCGAGGTTAGCACCTATCTCTATTCGGAGCCAACTAGGCAAAGGGAGGTTCCAACCGTTCGGGTATTCCCTTGCACGCTGGCATCGGGAATCCCATCTTGTTACAAACAGTTTCCCTCGTCAATCATAGCTTGAAAAGTTTGTTGTAGAGGACTCTCCTCTACTTTGCAGGAACTGGGAGTTGTTCTAAACGATAGAGCTCTGTCTTAGCTTTCCAACGAGCCGTCAAACACGTCGATCGCCTAAGTATTCTCCGAGATATAGGCGTTCACGTGCTAGGTGGTGCTCTTGAATGCAAGTAAAGAAGCTCTCTAGAATTTGTGTTCGAATGTACCTTGTACAAAGAACTCTGAGTTTCACTATGATGGCATGCAATACAAAGAAAACAGATTTATAGCATGCAAACAAGATCGAATCGCACAAGTAACCTCGAACCGCTACACTCGCGAATGTTCGAGTAACATCGAAAGGGTGAAATTCGACTCTCGAATTTCACCGATCCGAATTCTCCTTGGGTCTCGAATGTTCCTGGTGCTGCCATGTGGCACCGAATCGAATGGGTCTTCCGAAGTCAATCCTCAACCCCACGCAAACCTGCAACTCACTCGAAGGTGAGCACAAGTCACACATTCGGTGGGTTGGGGGCATACAAACGCCCCACCACCACCTTGCTTCCAACACACGTAATCTCCAACACTCCCCCTTGCACCCAATCCACTAGGTGTGCAAACCAACATGCTCATAGCATGCACGGGATGAATCTTTAGAGGGTGGTTCCATGAGAGATTTCGCGTGTTCATCATCACCGTTGGTTGCGAAGCAAAATGCCGCGCCCTCCTTATCCGTCTCCCCAACGGCTACCGTAGCGTAGTCGTTGTACTTGGAGGGAGGACGAACCTCACGACGCTCGCGGGTCAAGGCCAATGGTAGGGAGGAAGGTGTGGAGGTAGTTGCCGCCTCGGTTGGTGACACCTCCACGACATCATCAATGCTCTCCTCGTTGTTCGCTCCCCCTCCATCGGCTTCCTTCTCCACTTGAGGTGGAGTCTCACTCTCTTCAACCTCCTCTCGTGGCGGAAGGATGAAGGTGAGTTGTTGAGTGGGTTTCTCCTTCGACGGGAACTTGTCTTCGATGAAGACCACGTCCCGAGACGTGACGACGCACTTGTCGCCCAAGTCCCACACTCGCCACGCACGCTCGTTCGCCGAAATTCCCAAGTAGATCGCCGCACGAGCCTTCGGTTGCAACTTGTGGCGAAGGGGATCCGGTACATGGTAGTAGCAAAGGCACCCAAAGGTGCGAAGGCGGGATAGGTTCGGCTTCGTTCCGGTCCATGCTTCGAACGGAGTCATTCCCGGGAGCACCTTCGTCGGCAAACGGTTGCGAATCCACGCCGCTAGCGAACTCGCCTCGCCCCACCACTCTTTCCCAAGCTTGGAGTGTTGAAGAAGAGAATGAACGGCTTCCACCAACGTGCGATTAAGCCGCTCTGCCGCTCCATTTTGTTGGGGTGTGTAGGGTGTTGTGACGTCGTGCTTAATGCCCTTGCACTTCATCCATTTCTCGAGCTCCGCATTCACGAATTCGCCACCACCATCGGTGCGAATACACTTGATCCGCTTCTTGTCATCGTCGCAAACTTCGAGCGCCCACTCTTGAATCGCCTTGGCCGCATCTCCCTTAGCCTTCAAAAGTCGGGTCCAACACATCCGCGTCGCATCGTCGAGCATTACCAAGAGG